AGTTACAATTTGTTACATCCAGCTAGAGAAGAAATACATAATTCTTCATTTGAATGTTTATGCACTTCAGAAAAGTAACCTTGGCAGAGTTCTTGTCCGTATAGGACAAACAGTGAGTTACCATTTTAGTTGTGGCCTTAGAAAGGAAAAAAACAAGCAGATGGAGATGACTACTACTTTTGAGGCAGTGATCCTTTATGCATTTTCTTTCAAAAGTGCTGAACTCCTGCTCTTCCCTGCTCAACCTTCCCTCTGCGCCCACGCGATAACGCCTTTGCTTGCTCCTCCTTTTCACCCCGCTGTCTCTTTCCCCTTTTCCCCCTTTCCCTCCCCTGCCCCTTGGAGGAGCTTTCCCTGGGCAGGGGCAAGGGCAGGGGCAGGGGCAGGGCCATGCTGCTCTCAGCTGTGCCTCTGCGTGCCCTGCTGTCCTGCGGGGGAGGGTGCAGGGGGTTCCGTGGCAGTTGGAGGAGCCAGAGAGGGGGTGGGGCAGCGGCCTCAGGCCCCGGGTGCTCTTGGGACTCCTTCCCTAACGGACCCAACTGCCTCTTGAGTCCATTGCCCAGTGGCCCGGCGCCCACACTGTCAGCGGAGTCCTGGCCCTATGGGCCCCATGGGTCCCCACCCTGTGCCTGAGTTAAATGCCTCTGTGAGGCTTCCAGCTCTGCTGGGACACTGATGGGGAGAGGGGGAGGAGGGAGAGGAAGAGATTAGGGGACAAGGACAGGATGGGGTGGGGGGCCCCAGGCGTCCCCTGCATGGAAGTGGCTGATGTCCTGTGCTGCTCACCAGGGGCACCCACATCCCACGGCAGAGCAAGGCACCTGACTGGTTGGCAAGGGGTGTTAGTGTGCTCCCTTCCAGGCCAGTTTTCTGTCAGCAAGAGCAAATACATTTTCTTATAAAAATATTTATTTTCCAAGGTGTAAAATGTTGCTTTAGTGCAACCTGAATTAAAGATGATGTGACTGTTCTTGAACAGACACAATGAAAGACTAATAAGATGAGTGAAAACAAATGAGGTTGTTTGTGGAACTGAGTTATATATCCTGTCTATTTGGTAAACTTCCTTACTGATATACATAATGAACTGCACAAAAACTAAAGAAATTACAACTAACGAAAAGCTGTCGGACTATTTCTTGGCATGTGTAGGTGATGTTGATAGTAAATTTTGCATACTTGTACAAAATGAAGTAAATGTTACTGCTTTTTAACTGGAAAACCAGTATTAGCAAACAAACTCAGTAGTGCACAGAAATCTTTCCAAAAAGCAGTGTCACATTTCAGCATATGTTTATAAAATTGCAGCAAGCCATGAGTGTTCACACAGACTATTCTCCTGAGTATTTAGATTGGGACTCTTATCTCCCTCCTACTTACTATCTTAGCTTTTATCATTTAGTCCCTGTCCCTGCTCCATGCTTATAAAACCCAAATTGTCCACATCTGTTTAGGTTGTGTGCATGTGAATGCTGACATGACATGGGATAAGGGACATGCTATAAAGAGGTGAACACTCCAAAACCGAAGGGAAGACTGCTGGGCTTTTCAGATGAAAACACGTGAATGATTTTTGAGACGTGGGATAGTGCATAGAAATAACTGCACAGTGGCTGAGGCATAGCAGACATGGAATACATGATATAGAGTATCATGATTTCCATTTATAAAATAGTGGCTAGGGAACCTGTTCCAACATGAAGGCTACTAGAGAACAAATTTTTGCTATTCTGGAGAACAACCCCCAGGTTACTAATACCTGCACAGCACCAACTACCGCTAAGTCAGAGTCAAAGGAGAACCAGTGACCCTGAGAGCACTGGGTGTCACTGCCTGGTGGCCTCCTTGGCTGGGCTGAACTACGGAGTGGTTAATACTCACCTGCTGGTCTCAAACATTACCACCACTGTGGGTGACATAGCCCAAGGAGTTGTCTTCAACTTCAGAGATTTACAGAAATCTCTAAACTCACTAGCCCAGACAGTCCTAGACCACAGACTTGCTTTGGATCACGTGCTAGCTCAACAGGGAGGAGTACATGTGCTATCAAATAGCTCTTGTTGCCTCTCTATCAACACCTCAGGAGCTGTAGACACATGAACAACTCACACCCTACAAAAGGCCACAGGGTGGTTCAAAGGCTGTCAGTGAAAACCCACCTGACATGTCAGGTTTGGGACCCTGGCATAGGTGCTTTCTCTGCTGGGCCCATTCTGTATGCAGCCTCGTCAAATTTGTCCCTCAGTAGTTAGACCCCATCAAGACACAATGGTCCTTCAGGTGGAAACCCACATGGAGACTGCATTCTTCCACCACAGCAACCTGGGTGACCACCACCACCACCCTGGACCCTCAGAGCCTAAGGACTCCTAGGATGATAAACCCCCTGTCAGCAGGAGGTAGCCAGACACTGATGTCCCAGGTCCCTAGAGTAGCAGGCTGTGGATTAAAAGAAGGGGGGATTTGAGTGGAGGTTTATGGATGGAAACCATGAAAAGTCCTCAAAGAACAAAGAAAGCACTCATGTTAGGACCCATTGGGGTGTCTGTTTCGCTTTACCATAAGCAGGAGAAAATTTACAGAAATGCAGCAAGCATCAACTGGCCACCTGGCCATGTGAGTCACCCCAGCCCCAGAGTGTGTTTTCACTGATGAGCGCTTTACATTCCCTTCTGTTACAGGGCTCGTATTCTCCAGTGGATTGATGAGGCCTTTTACAGTATGACGACACTCTTCACACTCCCTGCCTGCCTGGCATCTCCCATTCCAGTTCCCCTCATTTCCCCCTCGAGACAAGATCCCCTACCTTCAGTTAGGGGGAAATGGCATGTGGCTGTTTCTGGCTGTTTCCTGCTGAACAAGGTAGTCGTGGGGAACAGGCAGTCAGGGACTCCATCAGGAACATGGCCTACAGGCCCACTGTTGTCGCGCTTAGATGTGTGTCTCTTACATGTGTATTGGGACATCTCTGGAAGAAATCGGTTGAGAGAAGCACTTTGGCACACAGGGTCTGAGTGAATGTATAACATGGATTACACTATGGGCCATGACAGAGCCACCGACATGAAAGCTAATAGGTCCAATCATATTTGGAGCTCAACTATGAATTGTGTTTAGTTCTTCCAGGAAATGTAAAGTCTCCTTCTGAATGAAGTTACAATGTTGCAAGACACTGAAACAACACATACCAGCTAGCTCCCCAGACTCTATCTCATGTTTCAGCAATGGGCCTTCCAACCAGTGGGAGCATGGTGGTGCACGACTCCTTGCCAGAGCTAGCTCAACACATCATTTATGTACGATAAAGCTGCAGTGATGGCAATGGCCATTTTGGCAAGTATACAGGCTGGCTGACTGATCTCCTTATAGGTGCATGCTGCTTGTCTAGGGACTAGAAAAACAGGAGAGGCCATGACCACTGCTCTAGATAGACTAGGCTAGGGTGAATTATCACAGTCAGAGGGTAGTGACAATGACTGTCTGCTATGTAGGGTCTGAGCAGTGGAGATGGGTGAGACTTTGGGCAAAAACTCCCCTGCTGGACACAGACCAGAGTAAGATGGGGAGGGGATAGTATATATGTCCCAACAAGGAAAGGCCAGGCCATTGGGCACAATCCCTGTGCTGTTGTAACTCACAGATGTCCTGGAGGCGCAGTGTGGGATCTAACAATTCATCTCTGCATACTCAACCACGGGTGTGTTGGGTCCTGCAGCGCCTGTTTGAATCTTTATGCAGCTGTCTCTTCCAGAACCTGTCACAGTCATTTGTCATCTGCCAATGCTAAAAACAATTTTCAATCTGATCCAGCATTACACCAGGAAATGCCCGTACTGTTTCCACATCTCTGCCCCAACTTCTATCCATGCCAGCAATCCCACTATTTGTGGGCAATGATGTTGGTGTGATGGTGTGAGAGCCTGTCCTGTAACCACCCTGATCAACACTGTGGCTTCCAGACTACATGGTTCACAGAAAAAAAATTTATGACATACACACAGGCACGTGCCTGATGGAAATGCAGAGAAGGGTTCCAAGAGCAACAGATGGCCTGCAGAGTGGCACTCAGATGGCCTGGTCGATAATGACTGGGTACAAATGGGTGAGTCAGGGTCACATCAGGGGAGGTGTCCACCCAATTGGGAAACCACTCTTCAAGTGCACCACACTGGTAGTGATGTACAGGAGTACCCATTCATAATTTCTGTGACTGCAGTATCCCATTCTAGTTCCAACATGCTGCCAGGTGTTTCCCCATTTTCATCTAGTATAGTTTCTGTCTGCTTTGTTACCAGACAAGGTCCTGAAACTGAAGTCAGAAGGTTGAACTAGGGGCCCACTGTCAGGAAAAAGATTCCATATCTCTGGATGTGTCTTTTTTTTTAAGATTTATTTATTTATTTAAAAGTGTTACACAGAAAGAGAAGGAGACACAGAGAGAAAGAGAAGTCTTCTATCCACTGGTTCACTCCCCAGTTGGCCATCAATACACCAATCACAAATTGTAACTTCCAGGAATTCAAAGAAAAACTCCCCATCCCAGAGGTTTCACCAGGTAGTCATATATAAATAAGATAAATTCATTTTTATTCTAAGTATGTAAACCAAGCTCTTCCTATACTGGGATGGTTGGGCACTCTATACCTTTATCAGTGGTGTTGCAGCCATTTCATCTTGAGGATCAATGAGACATCTTCTGCTTATGAGCAAAGCTACCACGTCTCGGTGGCCTTTTGCACAGGCCCAGTGCAGAGCGGTCCTATAGGAAATTATATTGCACAATCACTTCACACTGGCGGCAGCCATTTCATGTCTTCTGTCTGCTTTAACCTTTATCAAATGTCCAGTTGGTTGGATGAGGTCCCTGTTGCAGCTTGTACCATTTTAATAAAAACTTTGCTTCTGCATTTCAGTGTGATCCGGTCACTGTTAGCTTCTTGGGCATCTACTTATCTGGGCATAACAGTTGCGGGGAGGTGACAGGCGGGGGGCGGCCTCGACCTGCTGCTGGCCCCTCCACTGGCTTCTGGGGCTGGCACACTCAGCCACAGGTAAACAAGTGGTGAGCCAGCAGCAGGGGAGACACCACCACGGATGCCATCGCTTCCCTCTGGCACCGCCCCTCACCTCCCCATCCCCGTCAGCCCCAGTTGGGTCATTTCTGTGGCACCCAGATGCCTCCCTCCCTGGGCTCATGTCGCTGCTCCAGGCAGTCCAATTCTAGCAGAGTGCAGCACGTGTTTGGGGAAGGGGTTCTCGCAGATGGCTTGTGATGGGTGTGGCCAGAGAGCTCTGTTCAGATCTTAAGGGTTAAGGGTGTGCCAAAGGTGACACACCCAGGTTTGGCTTGGTAAATCTCTATCTCTCTCCCTCTCTCTTCTCTCTTTTATTCTGAAGGGAAGTAATTACCCATAGCTGAGTTATTCTTGAAGGCAATCAGTGAGCACTAGCCCCTGTGGGTATAATATTCATCTGCTCTGTCCCAAGGACCACACAAAGGATCTGTGCAGTCCTCAGTGTAAGCTCAGAATCCCTTGCAATCTCCCACCGGGTTGCCAAGGTTACCGAGTTTGTGGCGTCTCCCACTGAGTACTCATGTCTGAGGCACTCTGTTTTCTCACACACCCTCAGTTTTTTTTTTCCACAGTGCCATTTCATAAGCTCCACACATTCACTAGGTCTTAACTTTGTTATTTCTCCCCTCCAGAGACAGGTTTTTTGCTTGGCTAAGGGCAGGCCCAGCCCTGTGGTGGCACAGCTTTTACGTATATCCAAAATGGCGCCTGCTCTTTGACTTGCTCGCCTTTGTAAGGTGTGTGGAGAGAAAGAATCGTGTCCATACCAGTTCCTTTTATGTTTTTTTCTCTCCTCTAGATAGCCTGGTGAACTTTCCCCCATGGGGCTTCAAGCCTCGTTCCCTCTAGGCTCTTCCTGCTGCTTTCCCGGCAGTGTCTCTGGCTACTGAGGTTTCGCCTCACCTCTCTTTCCATTGCTGTTGCCTAGACTCAGTGGCTGGGGTCCCAAGCCGTGGGTGCCCGTGCCCTCCACATAGGTCCACCATGTCCCACTAGTTCCGGAAGAGTTTCCTCTGCAGTTTTTTTCCCTAACTCTTCCCTGAAACTATAGTATCTCCACTTTTATTAAACTATCTTTTCCCAGACTCTCAGTGTGCGCCCTCCCTATTCCACCATCTTGGATGAAGCCCAAGAAGGGCTATTGACACAATAAATTTCAACATACTTGTCTCCTGAGGTCAATTAATTCCTTCTTCAATTTCTAGATTTCAGTTTTTGAGTTCATACAACAATTTCTTACATCATCCGGTGAAACCTAGGACACAAATTTTTTAACTTTTTTTATTTAAAAGACTTACAGACTTTATGTTTTTTATTGAATAAATGTGAATTTATTTATTTATTGTTTTTGTAGCTTGAGTGGTCACCTGTCAGGGCTTTGAGGTGCCAATCTCCGCCGCTTGGGGGCTGGTTTCCTTGAGAGATTATGGAAATTTTCTTGTTATCTTTTTGATCCTGTGTATCACAATGTGGATCTGGACTTGTGGTGTCCAGGGAAGCAAGCAGGGGAGCCTGGGGCGAGGGCTTCCCGCACTGGGCCCCGCTGCCCACCCTCCAGTACCTGTTCTTGTGCTCCACGACATCTACACAGCTTCTTCTGCAATCCAGGATTTTCGACACTGTGGCCACATTGCCCGCACTGGCAACTCTGTGAATGGAACCAAGCTCCCAGCAGAGCAGGCAGTATCCAAAATGCGGTTGCCTCTTCAAGCACTTGTTCTCTAACTCGCTAACAGTCCTGGTGCACTTACGAATCACCCATGAGAAAAGTTTCCCCATAATCAAAGCTGTCAGGGGCTTTCAGCCACCTCTGCAGCACAATATAAAGAAATCTGGCAGTCTGGCCACCATATAAAAGAGGAGCTTCGCGGTTTCCAACCTCTCGGCTCACAATGTCACCCGACAACTGCCGCACATGCTTAGCACCAGGCTAAGCCCCGCCCCTTCTGCTCCCGGACATTCCTTCCTCTTCCTCCAGGCTCCACCCAGAAGCCCCTACACCTCTGAGCCGGCCCCTGCACTCACTCTGGTTGGCTGTGAACCCGAACTCTGGGCCATGGGCTGTGCCCCAACGCTGGGCAGTGCTTCTTGCACCACTTTCTCCTGTGGCCTGGACTCAGCAGAACTAGGCAGTGGGAGGGCCAGGAAGTGGGAAGGAGGGCGCCCCCCAGGAAGCATGGCTGCCCCCTCCCAGCAGGGTAGCCCCACAGCTTTCCCCTGGGCTCAGGAGATAGTGGGCTGTGTCTCCAGGTGGCTTGGGCCCTGGTGAGGCGCGACCCATGGGCCACATGTGCCCCTCTCCCCTGGGCTCAGGCACATGCTTGCGGGGAGGTGACAGGCGGGGGGCGGCCTCGACCTGCTGCTGGCTCCTCCACTGGCTTCTGGGGCTGGTGAGCCGGCAGCAGGGGAGACACTGACCACCACGGATGTCATCGCTTCCCTCTGGCACCGCCCCTCACCTTCCCAACTCCGTCAGCCCCAGTTGGGGCATTTCTGTGGCGCCCAGATGCCTCTCTCTCTGGGCTCATGTCGCTGCTCCAGGCAGTCCAATTCTAGCAGAGTGCAGCACGTGTTTGGGGAAGAGGTTCTTGCAGATGGGCTTGTGATGGGTGTGGCTAGAGAGCTCTGTTCAGATCTAAACGGCTTAAAGGGTGTGCCAAAGATGACACACCCAGGTTTGGCATGGTAAATCTCTCTCTCTCTCCATCCCTCTCTTTCTCTCTCTGTTTCTTCAGAAGGGAAGTAATTATGCATAGCTGAGCTATTCTTGAAGGCAATCAGTGAGCACTAGCCCTTGTGGGTATAATATTCATGTGCTGTGTCCCAAGGACCACACAGAGGATCTGTGCAGTCCTCAGTGTAAGCTCAGATTCCCTTGCAGTCTCCCACCGGGTTGCCAAGGTTACCGAGTTTGTGGCGTCTCCCACTGAGTACTCATGTCTGAGGCACTCTGTTTTCTCACACACCCTCAGTTTTTTTTTTCCACAGTGCCATTTCATAAGCTCCACACATTCACTAGGTCTTAACTTTCTGTTATTTCTCCCCACCAGAGTCAGGTTTTTTGCTTTGCTGAGGGCGGGCGCACCCCTGAGGTGGCACAGCTTTTACGTATATCCAAAATGGCGCCTGCTCTTTGACTTGCTCGCCTTTGTAAGGTGTGTGGAGAGAAAGAATCGTGTCCATACCAGTCCCTTTTATGTTTTTTTCTCTCCTCTAGATAGCCTGGTGAACTTTCCCCCATGGGGCTTCAAGCCTCGTTCCCTCTAGGCTCTTCCTGCTGCTTTCCCGGCAGTGTCTCTGGCTACTGAGGTTTCGCCTCACCTCTCTTTCCATTGCTGTTGCCTAGACTCAGTGGCTGGGGTCCCGAGCCGTGGGTGCCCGTGCCCTCCACATAGGTCCACCGTGTCCCACTAGTTCCGGAAGAGTTTCTTCTGCAGTTTTTTCCCTAACTCTTCCCTGAAACTATAGTATCTCCACTTTTATTAAACTATCTTTTCCCAGACTCTCAGTGTGCGCCCTCCCTATTCCACCATCTTGGATGAAGCCCAAGAAGGGCTATTGACACAATAAATTTCAACATACTTGTCTCCTGAGGTCACTTAATTCCTTCTTCATTTTCTAGATTTCAGTTTTTGAGTTCATACAACAATTTCTTACATCATCCAGTGAAACCTAGGATACAAATTTTTTAGCATTTTTTTATTTAAAAGATTTAGAGACTTTATTTTTTTATTGAATAAATGTGAATTTATTGAATTATTTATTTATTTATTTTTTTGTAGCTTGAGTGGTCACCTGTCAGGGCTTTGAGGTGCCAATCTCCGCCGCTTGGGGGCTGGTTTCCTTGAGAGATTATGGAAATTTTCTTGTTATCTTTTTGATCCTGTGTATCACAATGTGGATCTGGACTTGTGGTGTCCAGGGAAGCAAGCAGGGGAGCCTGGGGCGAGGGCTTCCCGCACTGGGCCCCGCTGCCCACCCTCCAGTACCTGTTCTTGTGCTCCACGACATCTACACAGCTTCTTCTGCAATCCAGGATTTTCGACACTGTGGCCACATTGCCCGCACTGGCAACTCTGTGAATGGAACCAAGCTCCCAGCAGAGCAGGCAGTATCCAAAATGCGGTTGCCTCTTCAAGCGCTTGTTCTCAAACTCGCTAACAGTCCTGGTGCACTTACGAATCACCCATGAGAAAAGTTTCCCCATAATCAAAGCTATCAGGGGCTTTCAGCCACCTCTGCAGCACAATATAAAGAAATCTGGCAGTCTGGCCACCATATAACAGAGGAGCTTCGTGGTTTCCAACCTCTTGGCTCACAATGTCACCCAACAACTGCTGCACATGCTTAGCACCACTCTAAGCCCCGCCCTTTCTGCTCCTGGACATTCCTTCCTCTTCCTCCAGGCTCCACCCAGAAGCCCCTACACCTCTGAGCCGGCCCCTGCACTCACTGTGGTTGGCTGTGAACCCGAACTCTGGGCCATGGGCTGTGCCCCAACGCTGGGCAGTGCTTCTTGTGCCACTTTCTCCTGTGGCCTGGACTCAGCAGAACTAGGCAGTGGGAGGGCCAGGAAGAGGGAAGGAGGGTTCCCCCCAGGGAGCACAGCCGCCCCCTCCCAGCAGGGTAGCCCCACAGCTTTCCCCTGGGCTCAGGAGATAGTGGGCTGTGTCTCCAGGTGGCTTGGGCCCTGGTGAGGTGCGACCCATGGGCCACATGTGCCCCTCTCCCTGGGCTCAGGCACATGGTTGCGGGGAGGTGACAGGTAGGGGGCGGCCTCGACCTGCTGCTGCCACTCCACTGGCTTCTGGGGCTGGCGTGCTCAGCCACCAGTAAACAAGTGGTGAGCCGGCAGCAGGGGAGACACTGACCACCACGGACGCCATCGCTTCCCTCTGGCACCGCCCCTCACCTCCCCACCCCCGTCAGCCCCAGTTGGGGCATTTCTGTGGCACCCAGATGCCTCCCTCTCTGGGCTCAGGTCGCTGCTCCAGGCAGTCCAATTCTAGCAGGGTGCAGCACGTGTTTTGGGGAAGGGGCTTCTCCTGGGGAGCCAGCAGATGGTTTCTTCTGAGAGGTGGATTCTTGCAGATGCCTAGTTCTGCCCAGTGAGACCCAGGCCCACTGCTTTATTCTGGGGGGCAGACAAGGAGGCAGACAGAGCCAGAGGACCTGCAGGGGCTCCTCCCACCCCGTCTGTCACGCCTCCCCCTAAGCCCAGGCTGAGGTCAGAGTCTGCCCCGTCCTCACTATGGGAGCTCGTGGGTCCTAGGCGGTGGTGCTGAAGCTGCCAGGCTATGCATGCTCTCCAGTGCCAGACCTCCTGCCCTTTGGCCTCCGCAGTGTGGCAGCCATGCCAGCAGGAACTGCACTTCCCTCAGCCCTCTTGGTCCAGTGGAGACTCTGCTTGCCTTGTGCCTCAGACATGTGAGGGACATGGAGCAGCCAGATGTCCCTGGCTGCTGGCCAGCTGAGGGACTTGCACAGTATCTCAGCTCTGGGGAGTAAAACAACTTTCCCAGGTATCAGTGCCCAGGTACCCTGGGCCTGGAAAGAGGGGCTTGAGGCCAGGAGGAGCCCCTGGCTGCCTGGGGAGCAGCAGAGCCTGGGCCTGCACAGATTTCCCCTCCTTCCTGTCCCTCCCTCATGGCTGGACTGTGCCGAGTTTTGAGAGGACCTGAAACTGTTCCTGTGGCTCTGCTGGGTAGGGCGAGCCAGGCCCAGGCTTGTGTCTGCTGAGCCCACCCCAGCCTTTGGCTCCACTGGTATCAGGAGGGAAGCAGCTGCCAGGTGTCGGGGGGGTGGGTGGTGACACTAGGCCAGGTGTTTCTGGAGCTGGCTGACACCTGGACATTTTTGGCTGGGTCATATAACCTGAGCTATTCCAGGGCCCTGGCGTGCAGTGTCTTTCTGGATCCTTTGTTTTCCTACCTTCCTGACAGCTGCTGATGGGTCTCTGTGGGCTGTGCTCTCTCCTTAGTGCTAGTTTTGCAATGGAGATCTTTTGGGAAAATCACTTCGGTCAGACCTGCTTGGTAAAGTAATCCCAACAGAGTTCCTTTCCTGCTGCTTCACTGCTCGACTGCCCACAACTGCTGGGGCTGGGCCGGGCCAAAGCTAGGAGCCGGGAACTCAATCCAAGCCTCCCACACTGGAGGAAGGGAACCCGATGACTGAGTCAACACCTACTGCCTCCGTGTGTGCATAAATACTGGCCGTAAATACCTCTCAGTCTGTCCTTTCCATGCTCTGCAATGGTATCAATATTGAAACTTAAATCTTGGACAGTTTTTATGAAATGTCTTCATTCTATGCAGCTTGTGCTCCCAAATATGAGAAACTGCTTCTATATATGTCAGTCTTGAAAAATGTATTTCCAATAGTCTAAAAATTAAGTTAGATGATCCATACCTCATTTTCTTTTCTGGAAAGCAGCATTGTTCCATTCTTATATTTTCTCCATAAGCCACATAGTGGAGGGCAGTGTTGCCAATTCCATCCTCAATATTTGGATCAGCACCATGATCCAGTAAGAGTGTAGCACAGTTCTCAGCGGGACACTGTACAGCCTGCCAGTAATACACCAATCACAAATTGTAACTTCTAGGAATTCAGAGAAAAACTCCCCATCCCAGTGGTTTCACCAGGTAGTCATATATAAATAAGATAAATTCATTTTTATTCTAAGTATGTAAACCAAGCCCTTCCTATACTGGGATTTTTGGGCACTAAA